GCATAGCTAGCAACCAGTCCTGTTTATTTATTTATCTTTTTATTTTTAATTTTTTAAATTTTATTTTACTCGGCCTTCCGATTTTCTTAGCGGTCGGTAAAATGTACCAGCAGAGGGGTCAGTTAAATCTCGGCGGGGCGGCGAGGCAGGCACGTTTGTTTTTGTTTTGTTTTGTTTCTCCCCCAGTACTCATGCATGACAACTTTAAAATATCAAATGTAAAACTCGCACTGCAACAAAACAATGCTACCCTAATAACCTTAACAAGTTGTTAAAGTAGACATTTTAAATTTCATGGTGACACGAAGAGCTAGTTGAAACTGTTGGCGGAAGTCTGTGACCATTTGCGACCTTGAAGAAACTGACAAAAAATGAACATTTGGGTCGTGTGCAAACACTCGCTCCGTGAGATACTGGCTGAAGGCAACTTGATTAGGTCAGTCTTGAACAGTATTCAAGTACTATGAGTTAAGATTCATAAAAGCATGCGACTTTATATCGTGATGAGATTTAACTGAATGTTGTTAGTATCTGGTTTGTCAAAACAGGTACGGGGTAACACCAGAGAACATCATCCTCTACGGTCAGAGTATCGGCACCGTGCCCACCATCGACCTAGCTGCTCGCCATGAATGCGCAGCCATCATCCTGCACTCGCCGCTCATGTCGGGGCTTCGAGTGGCTTTCCCCAACACTCGCAAAACCTACTGCTTCGATGCGTTCCCCAGGTGAGTCTCTTCCACACGCTCATGTGCACGTGCAAACGGCTCTCTCCGCCGAACTTGGTGTATCGTCCGGAATTACAGCAACTCGCCGTAACGTCAAATTGTTAATTTTACATCTGCCCACGGCTTTAGTCGTGTTGCTGTGCAAGTAGATGAGCATTGAAAATATACAAGGGTGGTTTGGTGGTGAATTAACAGGAAGTGCAAAAACTTGAATGTTGTACTCTGTCATTCAAGTAATCATTTCAGACTGAATCGAGTCGATCATCGCTGATGGTGTCCAAGTAGTGCACAAGGATAACATAGACGAATGACTCGTGAATCCTGAATCTCTGTCTCTCTGCTCTCCGTAGTATCGACAAGGTGTCCAAGATGGCATCCCCAGTGCTTGTGATCCACGGTACAGAGGATGAAGTGATCGACTTCTCCCATGGCCTAGCCATGTACGAGCGCTGCCCACGTGCCGTGGAGCCACTCTGGGTGGAGGGAGCAGGCCATAATGACATTGAACTCTATGCACAATACTTGGAGAGACTCAAGCAGTTCGTTTCCTTTGAGCTCTCCACATCCTGAGTGGGAGCAGCACACACAGGCCAGGGTTCAGTTCAACAATCTTCTCGTGTGGCATTCCGGTGTCTTTGGAGACACTTGAGGGATGGCATGAAAGTGTTGAAAGTG